GAGAGAATAAAGTTTATAAATAATTGATATAAATAAAAATAATAAATGCAGGCGGAAACTAATAATGGATACTTGAGGACAAATCCTATACCTAACTCCATACCCAAGAATGCAGCCCTTTTGCCACCTGATGAGCACGAAATGCCGCACACCACGACTCTACAGGTGGAAAAACAAATCCATCAATCTACATTTCATATCGAGGCAATTCATTACAAGCATTCTGATTTCCACAATTTCTTTTCATTTTTCAAGTTTTTTTTTTTACAAAATTCACAAAACTGTCATAATAATCTAGAAAAATTGACGCACGACTCTAAAAAATTTATAAATTATTGAATAATAAAAAAACTGAAAATTATGAATAGTGCGAGAAATATCGGCAGTAACTCCTTAAATATCTTTAATTAAATAGTAATTACAGCGGGATTTTTTGAAGAGGAACTTTTAATACGAAATGGATTGAAGTTAATTGTTTAATTAAAAAAAAATCGATCAACAAAAAAAATGAGAAATAATTGAATATTGAATTGGCTCTTTTTTAAATTGCATTGTGATTTTTTTTATGAGAGTAATATGATCTCTGGGGTTGTCAGGTGACTTGTACCCCAAGAGGTAACACCACGACGACGATTGTTCTTCCTCAAGGAAATTCCAGGAGAATTCCAGGGATCACCAGAGCTACATCTGTCACAAGACCTCGTCGAGGTCCCACTAATCGCCAACAACTTGTCGGAGTTCTCGCTGTAACACTCCTCGCAGCTATTCTTTTAGCACTCTTGTTGCTGGCATTAAACCGAGGGCGAGAATGTATGAAAGACACGAGTAAGTTTAATTTTTGACTAGAATTACCCAGATAGAAAAAATCTAGATTCACTCGTGGATTCCGGAATGAGTCTAAATTCACACGGTGTAATAATTCTTCGATTTTAGAATTAATTCCCTTCTGCTCACTATTTTTTTAGGACCAAAAATTTGCCTGACTCAGGAATGCATCAAAACAGGTGAATCTTCCCTTGACTTTTTTCAT